TGGCAGCGTCCCCTTCGCTAAACTGGGTGGAGGCGAGGCCACCAGATGATGCATCCGGCCTGTGGCCTGCGAGTTTAACAACCCTGTTTTAGAAGATTACAAATGTAGATTTTGATTTTTGAAACTGGAATACTCTCCCCTCTTTGGAAGAGCTTTATAGTTCCCGCTGCCTTAAGAAAGTTCAAAACATTCTCAAAGATCCATCTCATCCTGGGGACCCTTTTTTTGAACTATTACCATCTGGCAGACGGTACAGAACCATAAAAACAAGGACAAATAGGCTGAAAAACAGCTTCTATCCCAGGGCAGTAACTCTTTTGAATTCTGCTGTATAGTGTAGTGTTGGTGTAGTGTCGGGGATTTTTGGTTCAATGTGTGGAGTGTGAAGGATGTGTGTTTGTGTTTATTTTCAAGGTCATGATGTGCACTGAAGATGGTGTTTGATTTTGTTGTACAAGGTGCAATGACAATAAAAGTAAACTAAAATTATTTTTAATTTAGAGCATATTATTTATAGTTAATTGACAACATTTTTCACACAGATTTTCTTGTTAAATCACAGTCCAGATAAGCACATGAATTGGCTGTTTGGGTTCTGTGATGGGAGAAGATTTCTAGTAATTCATTCATTGTAGGATCCATTCATTTCAGGGATTTTAATTCACTTATTATTAATTAATTAATTAAGACATTATTGTCTTTCCTTCCTACACATAGCTAGTAATAAGTTCATTTGTTCCATAAACTTTTGCATGTATAAGTGGATGTATTCATAGCAGAATATCTTACCCCAACAAATTCTTAAGAATATAAATGAAAAAAACCATACCATCAGAGTAAACCATGTACTTTGAAATCAAAGGGTGTGTAAGTCTCCCTATTGAGGGCCATGCCATATCCAATGAGAAGTTACTCCGAAAAGGCCTTCTCTTCTCCTTAGTACCCACATTGCATTGTGTCTATAAATGCACAGAAAACTAGTTTTGTTAAGTAGCAAGAATAATGTTATTCTAGTTTTAAAAGCAGGGTAGGAGATATTTGCTACCCACTCTTTACTTGATATAATTATTTCCTTTTGATTGGCAACACTTCCTGGGCCTAATGAAATTGTGCAAGCAGTATATCTGCCGTTGTAAAACAGAACCTTATTCTGTTTAGTTCTAGATCTGATTACTCTTTTTTCCTTGACTTAGTTCAGGCAAAATCCCATACCGCATTGTGAACCCAACGCTGAACCAAAAAAGCAGATAAAGCAAATGATCTATTTCAGTATCATAAATAATACGTCAAGAGTACCAACAGAAGTCAGGCTCTTAACCTAAGTAATTTATCCTCCAACATTTACACAGAGGAACAATGAACTGGGAAAAAAGGAAGTGCAAGTTTTCAAAAGTTATTAAATGTAAAATATAAAAACCCTAAGTTTTGTGGGTGGAGTGGGGGAAATGGTTGTTATTCATCAATAAGCTAGCCTTCATTTTGGCAACAGTTCTGTCAATTTCATTGGAAGCAGATTCCTACCCCCCCAATCATTTTGGCTAGCCAAGAAAACCATTTTAAACTTATTTCTCTAATTGGTATTACTGTGATGAGGGCAAATGGAAGTCATGCCTTCTTTTACATAATGACCACTTTAAATAACCACCCAATCTATGTTATATCTGACATGTCGGCATAAAATGTCTTTTTTAAAAAAGCTGGAAGAGTGAACCTGGGAGAAACTCCATTTTGTACCAGAATTAAATTTCAATTTCTTTTTCTGGCTGCCTTCTTTGCAGGAAAGGAAAAATGTGTTTTTGGGGGAAATTGCTTTTGATCCAAAAAGCTATCATGATAATAACATAGAGTGGGCCAAATGCAATACCTACTCTTAAAAGAGAAAAATAAAGGTTTAGTTCTTAACAAGTTGATACATGTCTATCTGGGTCACTTCAAATTGCATTCCTCATATACAGACCATTTCAAAACAGTACTCAAAGTTAAAAACAAAGTAGTTATCGCAGAAAAAGCTTTTAGTCTACCACTTTTCTGAGAGGCTTTTGAAAATGTACCCAATCAGGTGCCCCTTCACACAAAGTGGTTTAGATCATGTAAAACCTAGCATATGAGGGACCAATTACACACACCAGACATTTCTGTGATTTTACTTAGGTCTTATTTCAGTACTGTCTACTGAGCTCCCATGTAGAAGGCAGGATATTATTGTTTAGCAACTTTATAGAATGCTGCCCTGCATCTGGACACAGTAAGATCTCATATTTATGGATTATCCGGAAACTATCTTCATTTCTGCAAAGCACTAGGGAGAATATCCTGTAGCATTCAAATGAACAAACTGGTTAAATGTTTTTTAGGAGGATCCACAACCGATTTAAGAACTGGATTTGCTGAAGTAGAACTGAATAGTTCTTCATCAAACTGGACAACAGTCTCAAGGTGCTACAGGATTTGGTACTAGGCTTCATACTCTTTAATAATTTGATTAGTAACTTGAAGAAATTGAATATTTACAAGTTTTTCAGATGACACAGAGCACACTGAGATTATGAATGCTGTAGGAGATAGACATCAATTTTAAAGTAATTGCAATAGGTCAGAATAACAGTCTGAAAATACAGACCAAGTTCTTCACTATTTCCTAAGTTTTAATCTTCCAGTGGTTGAATTCAAAGAGATTGTTGCTTCTCAGTGTAAGACAAAAACCTAAAAGCTCTCCTAAAAAAAATTCTGTATAATTTTTGTAAGTTTCAAGTTCCACTTGATGATAAGAGAAATTCTCCTAAGCCTTGAAGAACATTCATATATATTCAGCAATTTTTGGAGAGAATTGGTGAATCAATTCATTTGTACCCTATTTCATTTTGACACAGGCCAACCTGTAAGTTTATTCTTCATGTTCTGCATAAGTTGCAGAAACACTTTGTAGAAACTGAGAAGATCAGATTTTAATTGACCCTGCACAGCTGCTTCATAACTTAACTACTTTGTAGACTCTATTGAACATTTAAACTAAAGGCATAAAACTTTAAATGAGAGGAATGGTACTTGAGAAAACAGCTAGTGCATATAATTAAAGGGGAAAATGAATACAGCAAATCTTGGGATTGTTTCAGCAATGTCTAAATGACTTCATGCCTTCTAAAAAGTCAAAGACTATCAAAGGCAAGGAAATATTACCACATAGTTTAGTGATATGCAGTAGTTAATGCTTTAGTTAATATATCTATCTATCTATCTATCTATCTATCTATCTATCTATCTATCTAT